CTGTGTCCCACAGCCCCTGCGAAACTGCAGAAGGTCCCGCAGGGCCCTGATCTCCCCCGGGAGCTCATTCCACCAGGTAGGAGCCGCCACTGTAAAGGATCTGGCCCTGGTTGTGGCGAGCCTTGCCTCCCTGGGGCCTGGAATCACCAGGCGATGTTGCGTCCCGGACCGGAGTGTGTGGGGAAATGGAATGTATCGATCCAAATCCTGACAAGTCCTTCTCTTTCCTTCCTCCCCCCCCACCACGTCCCTCTTCTAGATTCCGCTTTTCTGCTCAGCGACGCCCACGTCACAGTCATGCTGCAGTGCTTGGAAGCCGTGGAACAGAATAACCCCCGGCTGCTTGCTCAAATCGACACGACCATGGTGAGGAAAGGCGTCCTTGATTTTTGCCTCTTCTGTCCTCCCGCACCTTCCCCCTTGCCCGGATGCGTGCTTCTTTACTGTCGTCCTTCCCGCAGTGACCTTGATTCTGGCGGCATGCAAGCCAGTTGTGAGGGCACTGGGCATAAGAGAACATAAGAACACAGGAGAAGTCAATGTTGGATCAGGCCAATGGCCCATCCAGTCCAACACTCTGTGTCACACAGTGGCCAAAAATACCAGGTGCCATCAGGAGGGCCAGCAGTGGGGCCAGGACACAAGAAGCCCTCCCACTGTTGCCCTCCCCCAGGCACCAAGAATACAGAGCCTCCCTTGCCCCAGCCTGAGAGTTCCTGTCTGTACCTTGTGGCTCATAGCCACTGATGGACCTCTGCCCCGTATAAGAACGTAAGAGAAGCCAGTGTTGGATCAGGCCAAAGGCCCATCCAGTCCAACACTCTGTGTCACACAGTGGCCAGAAATACCAGGTGCCATCAGGAGGTCCACCAGTGGGGCCAGGACATTAGAAGCCCTCCCACTGTTGACCTCCCCCCCCCCCAAGCACCAAGAAGACAGAGCATCACTTGCCCCAGAGTCCCTATCTATACCTTGTGGCTAATAGGCAAACGGCCAGGAAGCAAATCGCCCTCCTAAGAGAGGACCTAAAGAGGGGCTTTCTCTGCTCGTCTCGAGCTTTGTGTTTCGCTCCTCTCCCAGGGCAAGTAAAAAAGCCTTCTGGGGGAATCGCTTGCCAGGCCTGCTTTGATAAGGAAGAGGGGGAAGGGATGGGAACCGAGCCGAAGACCACAGAGAAAAGACTAGTTAATCAGAGCTACGGGAATGTCTAAACTGCTAACGTTAACTTTAGTGCCAAAAAAATCAAGGATTTGAGATAGTTTCAAGCCGGGCTTGGGGTGGGGGTGCCGGAACTCCCAAGAGGGAAATGAAGTTTTCAATCTGTATTCTGAAAACTCACAAACGTCTAGACATTTTTAAAAGAATTTTGTCAAAGAGGTTCCAGTGCTTTCCCCCCAGAAAAAACCCCGGGAAAGTACCTGAGATTTGGTGGTGTTAAAAATGGAAAATGAAAGTGTTAGATTGGTAAAGTGAACGCTTTGTGTTGAATGGGTTAGATTTAAGCCACGGTTGGTCTGTCTTGTTATTTAAGTGTACTGCTGAATCGGGGTCTGGTTCCGCTGTTGCCTTACTTTATAATCTGCTTTGTTACTAAGTGTTGTACATATTTAGTTCCTACTTTGTTATATCTCGTCTATTGTAATGATAATAAAAAAGAGAAAAGGGGTTTCCATTGTTTAGGGTGGCCCCAGAGGATAGCATAAGGAGCGATCGTTTTACGTTAGGGAGGTAAGATTTGAGGCTAAGGTCTTGGGAAGATTCTGTAAGAAGAGGAGTACGTTTTTATACCCCGCTTTGTCTAGTCATGCCGGCCACATGGCCGCGGAAACGTCTTCGGACAGCGCTGGCTCTTCGGCTTGGAAACGGAGATGAGCACCGCACCCTAGAGTCGGATCCAACTGGGTTTCGAGCAAGGGAAACTTTTACCTTTCTCTACCTTAAGCGTCTCATAGTGGCTTACAATCAGCTTCCTTTCCTCTCCCCACAACAGGCATTGAATGAGGCAGGTGGGGCTGAGAGAGTTCTGGGAGAACTGGGACTGGCCCAAGGTCACCCAGCAGGCTTCAGGTGGAGGAGTGGGGGAATCAAACCCGGTTCTCCAGATTAAGAGTCCACCACTCTTAACCCTTACAGCACCACACTTGCGAAGCAGTGGGATCTAGGCTTACCAAGTGGCGGCAGGGGATCCGCATGTCTTTACAGGATCCCTGCCGCGGGGACGGCGATATGCGTTGCACCGCCGTTGCCAGGATGTGACGCTACACCAGGCACTGTGGGGGCGGAGGCCGGACAGTGAGGTGGTGGGCCTTGGAGGCGTCCATCCTGTCCGGCAGCTCCCCGGAGATTGAGGGCGAGTCGGCGGCCGGCGGGTCTGTGGGCGGGACGGAGGCGACGGAGGGAGGCAACATGGCCAGGGGATTGGTCCCCGTCCTGAGCGACAGATCAGGGACCCAAAGCCTGGGGAGGCGTGTGGAAGAGTTCACACGAAAACTCAAATATATACAAGGAGAGCTGTGGTCTTGGCGTTCTCTTCATTTGACAGTCGCACACGCTGAGCGCCCCGATTTTGTCGATGAGGTTCAGTAGGGTGGTCCAGTGCCCCCCGCACCTTAGAACGGTCCTCGGTAGGGGCTCAGTTCCACGGCAGACAAGACAGCACAGGAAGTATTCACGGAAGGCAAACCGATTCCAGTGATGCCTTAGTACTTTCTGTCCCAGCTTCTGTCTGTCTTTCTGGCTTACCCACGAGGCTCTCCTCTCTTCAGTTTGCAAGGAAAAGCGAGGCGTCCATGCCCGTCATCAAGAGCCAGAGCCTCACCGCGCTTCCCGGATCCGTGTGCACCCCTCCCGCTGAGTGCATGACCCACCGATACTTTGGCTCCTTCTCAGGTCTTCACTCCGCCTCTGCCAGCATACAAGGTAGGGGAGATGAGTCGAACGCTGCCGTGCCTGGGGCACAACTTCCCCGCGTAGATGCAATTTTCCTGCTCTCGATCCAAGCACTTGCATTTCAGTATATGTCAGTGATCGATTGAAGGCTCGTCTCCCTGAGCAGCCTTTTGCAGGCAAAAAACTGCAGCATGGTCCGTGCTAGATCTGGGTAACTTGTGTCCGGGGAGGGGCCCTAGTTTAGTGGCAGAACATCTGTTTGTCATGCAGAAGGTCCCAGGTTCAGTCCCTGGCACCTCCAGTTTAAAAGGACCAGGTAGTAAATGATGTGAACGACCTCCGTCTCACACCCTGGAGAGCTGTAAAGAGGGGGCTGGGGCTCAGTGGAAGAGCTTCTGCTTGGCATGCAGAAGGTCCCAGGTTCAATCCCCAGCATCTCCAGTTTAAAAGGACCAGGTAGTAAGTGAGGTGAAAGACCTCAGCCTGAGCCCCTGGAGAGATGTAAAGAGGGGCTGTGGCTCAGTGGAAGAGCTTCTGCCTGGCACGCAGGAGGTCCCAGGTTCAATCCCCGGCATCTCCAGTTTAAAAGGACCAGGTAGTGACTGATGTGAAAGACCTCCGTCTCACACCCTGGAGAACTGTAAAGAGGGGCCGTGGCTCAGTGGAAGAGCTTCTGCTTGGCATGCAGAAGGTCCCAGGCTCAATCCCCGGCATCTCCAGTTTAAAAGGAACAGGTAGTGAGTGATGCGAAAGACCTCCGCCTGAGACCCTGGAGAACCACTGTCAGTCTGAATAGATGATACTGACTTTGATGGACCGCTCATCTGCTTCAGTAGAAAGAGGGCAGGGAGCTGTCCCTGTTGGCAGCAGAGGTTAGGACTCGCAAGAATGGGTTTAAATTAAGTGCGAGAAGGGACTGGCTGGGCATTAGGGGGAGACGTTTTGACAGTCAGAGTTGTGCAACAGTGGAATTGGCTGCCTGGGGAGGTGGTGAGCTCCCCCTCCCTGGCAGTCTTTAAGCAGCAGCTGGAAGGACACTTGTCAGGGATGCTCTAGGCTGGTTTGGCATTGAGCAGGGGGGTGGGACCAGACGGCCTGCAGGGCCCCTTCCGACTGTGTGTGATTCCATGATCCTATGAATGGGACAAGAAAGCTGGAGAACCGGAGGGCTTGTAAGCCGCAGGAACAAAGACTTCTGCTCACAGTCTTCTCCCCCCCAAAAAAAAAAAATTCAAGGGGCATTTGGGGTTCCTACTGGGGGTGGGTGGGGAAATCACTCACGAGTGGAAGTCCTTGCACTGGCAGAAATGTTACATATTACTTATTTGGATAACCTTACCCTGCTCTTCTCCACTGAGTGTGTCCTCAAATCAGCTTACAATGTAAAAAAAGCAAGAGGCCAAAAATTGCATGCCTATAAAAACAGCAGAAAAATCCACCTGGCAGCAACAAACTAATATACAAGGGAAGGGAAGGGAACAGAGCAGGTGGTAAAAGCTGTGCCCCCGATGGCAACAGTCTCTCTTCAGACGCTTCTTTCCTTCCAGGAGGCCGTTCCCTTTAAGCTTGCAGGTAGGGGTGTGCGCAAAAAATAATCGGCAGATTCGGCAGACAGACTCCCTCATGTCAATATCGGCAGTACTAGCCAATGTCAATTTCGTCCCCATTATATCCCATGGGTCATTGAAGTCAATGGCGAAAACATAAGGCTGGAGGGGAGGGGGTTTGAGGGAGAGGCTCTAAACTCGCAGGGTAGCGTGGATCACCGTTGCCAGGTCATTGCGTTCGTTCCTAAGCGGTGCCACCCTTGAGTCTATGGTGACTAAGTCGCCCTGTTCTATGGCACCGGACGCTGGGGGATCCTATACATTTCTGTCTCTTCCTCTTTCCAGACAGGAGGCCATCAGGCACTTTGACTTCGGTTTGCAGTGGTCCCAGCCAGCCTCAGGAAAATGCCCCGTGTGCCTCATCCCACTGGCATCCGGAGGGGAGGTCCCCCCGCCACCCTGCCGCTGCCGCCCTTCCACACTTTACCGTCTCTCCCCCGTGGGACTCTTTCCACCACGCTGACTCCGCTGGCCGGCAGAACCGGGCTTCCAGCAGCCCGAGCGAGTCCAGCGCGGCCGACAGCAACAGCACCGAGAGCAGCACGTCCAACCTGTTCTCCTCCAGCAGCTCCCAGAAGCCGGAGTCCGTCTCGTCCTTGGGGGAGCAGGAGGTGAGCGGGGGTAGCAGCCGGGCGGCGAGCCTCTTGCGGAGATCCAGTTTCTCAGAAGGACAGACGTTGACCCCCTACGGGACGCACAAGAGGAGCCACGTCCGCTCCCACTCGGATACCAACGTGGCCTCTGGGAAAGCTCTTGGTAAGTTGGGCGAGGCCTTGATCCGCTGTGGTCATTGACATAAGAACGCAGGAAGAGCCCTGCTGGATCAGGCCAGGGGTCCATCTAGTCCAGCATCCCACCTCACACAGAGTGGCCAACCACTGTAGACCAAGAAGCCCTCGGAGGAAAGGCTGAGGGGCTTCTTGGGAATATTCAGTCTGGAGAAGAGGAGGTCGAGGGGGGACAGGATGGCTCTCTTGAAGTCTTCGAAGGGCTGTCACATTTAGGAGGGCAGGCAGCTGTTCCTGTTGGCAGCAGGAGAGGACTTGCAAGAATGGGTTTAGATTAAGGGCGGGAAGGGACCGGCTAGATCTTAGGGGAAACTTTTTGACAGTCAGTCGTGCAACAGTGGAATCAGCCGCCTGGGGAGGTGGTGAGCTCCCCCTCCCTGGCAGTCTTCAAGCAGCGGCTGGACAAACGCTTGTCAGGGATGCTCTAGGCTGGTCCTGCGTTGAGCAGGGGGGTTGGACACTAGATGACCTGTATAGCCCCTTCCAACTCTGATTCTACGATTCAGTTCCTCTGGATGACCAACAGCAGCCCACGGAGGCCAAGGCCTTCCCCTGATGTTGCCTCCTGGCGCTGGTGTTCAGAGGCTTACTGCCTCTGAATATGCAGGTTCCCTCTAGTTGACATGGCTAGTAGCCAGTGATGGACCTCTCCTCCATGAATCTGTCCAACCCCCTTGTAAAGCCGTCTGTGCCTGTGGCCATCACCAGTGTTCCCTCTAAGCCGTGGAGTCTCATGAGCAAAAATTCTACTTTGTGAGCTACTGGCATTAAAGTTGTGAGCGAGCGATTTGGCTACTGCATAACTTAGTTTGCTCTGGAGCCCTCCTTCCTGAGCTGAGATAAAAATGTCTGAGCCAGAGGCTAAAAAACTGTAAGCTAGCTCACACTAACTCAGCTTAGAGGGAACACTGGCCATCACTACGTCCTCTAGCAGAGTCTCCTGGCCCTCATATTCCGAGACCAGCTGCTTCTGAACAGGGAGGTTTCCCTTTAGTCACCAAGAGCAGTAGCCACTGATAGATGTATCCTCCGTGCATCTTTCTAACCCCATTTTAAAGCCGTCTGTGCCTGTGGCCATCACTCCATCCTCTATAAGAACATAAGCAGAGCCCTGCTGTATCAGACCAGTGAGGGTCCATCTAGTCCAGCCTCCTGTCTCACACAGTGGCCAACCAATTCCTCCAACAACAGGGCATAGAGGAGCCCTGCTGGATCAGACCAGTGAGGGTCCATCTAGTCCAGCCTCCTGTCTCACACAGTGGCCAACCAATTCCTCCAAGAACAGGGCATAGAGGAGCCCTGCTGGATCAGACCAGTAAGGGTCCATCTAGTTCAGCATCCTGTCTCACATAGTGGCCAGCCAGTTCCATAGAGCCAGAGGCTTTCCTCTGATGTTACCTTCTGGCTGTAGGATTCAGGGGCCATCTGCCTCTAAATGTGGAGGTTCCCGTAAGTCTCCACGGCTAGTAGCCACTGATAGACCTGTTCTCCATGAATCTGTCCAATCCCCTTTTAAAGCCATCTATGCCTGTGGCCTTCACTACATCCTCTGGCAGAAAAGTTTAAGGTCTTGGGCACTGACTAACACCTCGTTTAGCACCCACTGTCAGTTAGAAGCTATATGTATATATATAATGTCAGCTGTTGTCCCTCAATGGAAGCTTGGCAGAAAAGTCAGGAATTGGGCGGGAGGCCGAAGCTGAGAAGGGAAGAGTTGAGCTAAGTAAATTCAGGAAGAGGAGGGCCACTCGTAATTTAAATGATGCTGAGGTTAGAATTTAAATCTATATTTTTCTGCTCTGGGTTCTTTTATAACACTCCCAGATTGAAGTCTGCTTCCTTACCGCGTTTTAAAAGGCTCTGGCCTTGAGAAGAAAGATTCTATGGGAAGGGGGGAAGAAGAGGCAGCTGGAGGGACCCTCTGTAAATCGTGCCACGCCCTCAGAGCCCTTTCAACGATCGAGGTTTATAAGATTGTGCATGGGGTAGAGCAGGTTGAGAAAGAAGTACCTCTCTCCCTTTCTCACAATACAAGAACTCGCGGGCACTCCATGAAATTGCTGAGCGGTTGGGTTAGAACGGATAAAAGGAAGTCCTTCTTCACCCAAAGCGTGATGAACACGTGGAATTCACTGCCACAGGAGGTGGTGGCGGCTACAAGCATGGACAGCTTCAAGAGGGAATTAGATAAGCATATGGAGCAGAGGTCCATCGGTGGCTATTAGCCACAAGGTATAGATAGGAACTCTCAGGCTGGGGCAAGGGATGCTCTGTATTCTCGGTGCTTGGAGGGGGCAAGAGTGGGAGGGCTTCTAATGTCCTGGCCCCACTGCTGGACCTCCTGATGGCACCTGGTGTTTTTGGCCACTATGTGACAGAGTGTTGGACTGGATGGGCCACTGGCCTGATCCAACATTGGCTTCTCTTATGTTCTTATGGATAAACATCTGGAGCAGAGGTCCATCAGTGGCTATTAGCCACACGGTATAGATAGGAACTCTGGGTCTGGGGCAAGGGATGCCCTGTATTCTTGGTGCTTGGGGGGGGCAACAGTGGGAGGGCTTCTGATATCATGGCCCCACTGGTGGACCTCCTGATGGCACCTGGTATTTTTGGCCACTGTGTGACGGAGTGTTGGACTGGATGGGCCATTGGCCTGATCCAACATTGGCTTCTCTTATGTTCTTATATGGAGCAGAGGTCCATCAGTGGCTCTAGATATGAACTCTCAATCTGGGGCAAGGGATGCTCTGTATTCTTGGTGCATGGGGAGGGGGGCAACAGTGGGAGGGGGCTACTAGTGTCCTGGCCCCACTGCTGGACCTCCTGATGGCCCCTGGTATTTTTGGCCACTCTGTGACACAGAGTGTTGGACTGGATGAGCCATTAGCTTGATCGAACATTGGCTCCTCTGATGTTCTTATGTTCCTCTGTTTTGTCATTTTTAAAGTTAATCATGTTTTATTTTCAAAATTTGGATCCTGCCTTTCTGCCCTTACAAGGGCCGCCAAGGCGACTTTTAAAAATCACATTCTAAAAGTGATTTTAAATTTTTTAATTATGCACGGCAGCATAATTTTAAAAATCACATTCTAAAAGTGTTAAAGTGAACCCCACCAAACCAGGCGTAATGAAAGCTATTAAAAACAGAGCGAACATGCATACGAAATGTAAAAATAATAATAATGCAATTGCAACATTGGTTAGGGAGGACGGAGCATTGCGGGACTGCCAGGGGAAACCGAGAAGGTCTTCACTTGCCGGCGGGAGACGGCAACAGAAGGGGAGAGAGGTCCAGAGCTTTGGTGTCAGGTCTCCACAGCAAACAACGTAGTACACACTTGCAAGAAGGTTTTACTTTATTGAAGCCATGAAGCACTTGAACAGGGTCACTGTTCAGAATAAC